GACCTTGAGGCTTTTTTTCGCCGCCTCCGTCTCCGAGAATATTTCCAAACCACCACTGAACATCAATCTGACCTACCAGATCCCCCCTACCAACACCAAAGGAAAAATAATTCTATATGGACTCCCCCTGACGGTCGGAATTACAATCTGGATTTCTATATACACAGCTTCCGCAACAACGCACAGACTGACATTATTCGCAAACGACAACAAGCGACACACAATCTTAGCCGCGCTGAACACCATGCCATCCAGAGTCTCAAAAACAACCTGGACATTGTAATCAAACCAGCTGACAAAGGGGGTGCTGTGGTCATTATGAATAAGGCCGACTATAACCAGGAGGCAACCAGACAACTCTCGAACACCACATTTTACAAACCTCTCCCCTCTGATCCCACCTTGGACTACCAAAAGAAACTACACTGTCTCCTTAAAAGCCTCCCCACAGCTACTCGGGAACAAATCCTCACAGAATCACCTTCTGACCCCCGACCAGGATTGTTCTATCTACTTCCCAAGATCCATAAACCTGGGCACCCCGGACGTCCCATCATCTCTGGTATTGGCACGCTCACTACTGGTCTATCCAGCTATGTAGACACTCTTCTCAAACCCTTCGTAACCAATACCCCCAGCTATCTCCGAGACACTACTGACTTCCTAAGGAAACTACAAAACATCGATAACCTCCCCAATAATACCATCCTTGCCACCATGGATGTAGAAGCTCTATATACCAACATCCCACATGAAGACGGATTACAAGCAATTAGAAACACTATCCCAGAGGACACTACTGCCAACCTGATAGCAGACCTATGTAACTTTGTTCTCACCCACAATTATTTCCGGTTTGAGAACAACTTATACCTCCAGATCAGCGGCACAGCCATGGGTACACGCATGGCCCCACAGTATGCTAACATCTTTATGGCTGACCTAGAACAACGTTTCCTCAACTCCCGTCCCCTTTCACCCCTCCTCTACCTACGGTACATCGATGACATCTTTATGATCTGGACACATGGCCAAGAAACACTGGAGATATTCCACAGAGATTTCAACAACCTACACCCCACCATCAACCTCAGCCTGGACCATTCTACACGAGAGATCCACTTCCTGGACACCACCGTACAAATCAACAATGGAAAATTAGACACCACTCTCTACAGAAAACCCACTGACTCATACAGTTACCTACATGCATCCAGCTCCCATCCAGAACACACCACACGATCCATCGTCTATAGCCAAGCCCTTCGATACAACCGCATCTGCTCTAACCCCACTGACAGAGACCAGAAGCTTCAGGATCTCTACCAAGCATTTATAAATCTCAACTACCCACCCAGAGAAACAAAAAAGCAAATTGAAAGAGCCAGACGAATACCTAGAAACCATCTACTTCAAGACAGACCCAAGAAAACCAACAATAGAACACCACTTGTCATCACCTACAACCCCCAACTTAAACCTGTCCAACACATTATCAATAAACTACAGCCTATATTGGAACAGGATACCATACTCAAAGAGGCTCTGGGAGACAGACCCATAGTCTCCTATAGACAACCACCTAACCTCAAGATGATTCTTACCAACCACCACAGGACATACCACACTAATACCAACCCTGGTACCTTCCCTTGCAACAAACCCCGTTGCCAGCTTTGTCCACATATTCATTCTGCTGATACCATTATTGGACCTAACCAAGTGAGTTATAAGATCAAGAACACATATTCCTGCGCATCCAGAAATATAATCTACGCTATCATGTGCCGAAAGTGTCCGTCTGCTATGTACATTGGACAAACATCTCAGACACTTCGCCAAAGGATTAATGCCCACAAAACAGATATCAGACAAGATCACAAAGAGAAAACAGTTTCTTGCCACTTTAACCAGAAAGGACACTCTCTAAATGACTTAGCCACCTGCATTCTGCTACAAAGACCTTTTACATCTGCACTTGAAAGGGAATCCTCTGAACTGTCATTCATGTTAAAATTCGACACTTTCCAACAAGGACTTAGTTCAAATGTTTGTTATCTCACCCATTACCAAGATAGTTTCCCCAATTATCACCTCTAATACCATTAACTCACAAACATCCCACTCTCCCTACCTCTAATATCATCAATTCACAGACACTTACCTTCCTTCCTCCCCCTCCCCCACCCCGCATCTCCCTTCTGTTCTGCAATGTGATTTGTCCTTTTCATATTTGTTCATTTTTTTAATTGTATCCTTTGGTTTATATGGTTGTGACTATTTTCTTCCACTATTTGATCTGAGGAAGTGGGTCTGGCCCACGAAAGCTCATCATCTAATAAACCATCTTGTTAGTCTTTAAAGTGCTACATTGTCCTGCATTTTGCTTCAACTACCCCAGACTAACACGGCTACATTTCTATCACTGTTATAGTATGATTTTATATGTTGTTATAATAAAAGGTCAAATATTTCCAGACAGAAATCTTATTTGTTAAGTCAATGTCCCTTTAAGGGGGGAAAAAAAAAATCAAACCACCACCATCACCTGGAGTTCTGGGCACAGGACTGAAAGTCACGAACTCCAATATCCCATGCTGACTCTGAAGCCAGCTCTCTGGCAGGACTTAAGTCAGTTAGTGTCTCTACCTCAGTTTTTTATCTATAGAACAAAGGCAATCTAATTCAGATTATGTAAAAGTGATATCTGTTCCTTTTTTGAATATTAAAAGCATGATAGTGAACAGATAGTGAATAGAATATTTAATCATTAATAATTCCTTTTAAAAAAATCGGTTTTATACTACCCTATTCAACACTATTCACATCTTAACTGATGGCAGAAATGTTCAGAATTTCAGAAGTTGATGCATCTTAACAGTAGTGAGAGCATAAACCTCGGAGTCAAAACTCCTATATTTGATTCCCAGCTCTGTCAATTAAAAAAACTGAAGTGTAAGGCTACAAAGTGAAGAACTTGCCAGCAAAAGGAACCAGTTTGTCCAGTCCTGCCTAGGCTGAGGTTGGAGATCTGACCAAGGGGGTCGCCGAAGGAGGAGCCCATGGAGCGGAGGAGACAGAGGCTGACCTGGATGGAACGTCTCCCTGGGCCTGGTGTTACATACAGGGTGTCCAGAAAGGCCACTGGCCCGGAGGCTGTGGAGGCCATGACTGTTGGAGCACCCGCACTGGGATTGGCTGCACTCACTGCTGCTGGTATGGACGAGGTGGACTACAGTGCCAGGAATAGTGCCGTGAATGGGAGTGGTACCATGAGCGGGACCGGGAACCCCTAGAAGACCAGGTGTACTCTGCCTTGGAGTTGGATGAGTACTCTGAGATGGACCAAGGAGGAGCTGACGTGGGTGCCGAAAGAGCAATCGTGTGCTTGGCCATAGATTCTGACTTTCCACTGTGCCGAGGCAGAGGCGGCAGCATAGCGGTAAGGACGTCTGGCGCGGAGGTAAGTGCCGAGGCAGTCCGTCCCGGTGGCGGTAGCAGTCTATGATGCCAAGTTGCATCCGGTGCCGTGTCCTGGGGCAGCACCGTGGGTGGAGGCGCATCGCTGGCCAGTGCTGCATGCGGTACCTGCGGTGCCAGAAGGAGTGGGTGGTGGTCTCTGACCTCCGTTGCTGGGGCCTGGAAGGAGGCCAGTGCCGCGCCGCCCCGTGCCCCCTGGAGGGAGTTGGAGTAGGGGGAGGCGAGGGAGAAGAGAAGATCAGCATTCTTGCTGCTTCTAACGCCTCTGGCATGGAGGGTTCAGGGAAGTCTTCCAAGGGGCTAGGCTCCCTATGCTGGGAGGAAGGTCCACCCAACCTGGAAGGCCTGGGCTCTGGACTCATCAGTGCCATGTGTCCCACTGGAGGGTGCGTGTCTAGAAGGGGACCATCCCCTGTTGGGCCTCTTCTTTTTCTGAGGTGCCAGAGACAGACCGGTGCTGGGGTCACTGTGGTGCCGGTGAGGCACGGTGCACCATGGTATGCAGCACAGATGCCAGTGCACTTTGAGACTCCGGTGCTGGGTCTGACACCGGTACCAGCCTGAGAGCTATCTCCATGAAGAGGATCTTGAGGCACAATTCTCTCCCGCATTTGGTGCGCGGTTTGAACACCTTACAGATTTTGCCACAGGCATAGGCTTGTGACACTTTTTGCAGGGCTTGGAGCCTTGTGGTCCAGGCATGCCCTGCCACGGGCGCACGGCGTGCCAAGGCAGGGAACAACAACAAAAACAACAAAAGAGACTTTAACTTAATTACAGATACTTAGCTGAAGGCTAACTGAAGAGAATACGAAAGAACAATGCTGAAGACAACTATCACTAACGAGCTGAGGGTTGTTCCAATGACCGTCATGGTGGTAACAGGGAACTGAGTGAGTGAAGGGGCCAGGAGGGGTATATATGGGACGGTATACCAATGACACTCCAGGGGCTCCCCTGCTGGCCATAAGGGTGCTGCTGAGGGAAAAACTTCCAACAGCACGTGCAAGCTGCACATACACACCTAACTGGAATGCACATGAGCAATCACTCGAAGAAGAAATACATTTATTAGTAAAGGAACTTATTTTAGGTCCCCATTTCCATGGTAACTGAAGGCATCATAATTTGTACTGTATTAATCCTCACAACACCCTTGGCGGGTAGGGAAGTGCTATTTATCCCCATTTAATAGGGAACTGAAGCATACTGTAACAAAAATGACCTAAGTTCACAGAGGAAGTCTGTGGGAAAGCAGGTATTTGAACCCTGTCAGCCAAGGCTCAGATTAGTACTATACTCATAGCAGCGTTTTCCTTGATTTTGTTAAATGCAAATGTATTTAGTAAGCAAACAGTATATTCTGCATTTTAACAGATACACATTACAGGTACACCTGGGGAAGCACATTACTCTATTTAATGTTTTGGATTATTCTCTTTTTGCCATAGGTATGAAGAAGAAGCTCAGTAGATGAAAATGCACATTTTACTGAAAATTTCGTGTCTCATCTCCCTTACCTAATGTCTTCATCGGTAACAATGAATGCTTTGCATAGGGGCTGAGATGTATTGAGCCACACTGCTGGGTTCTTTTCCACTGCAGCAGAGAGTTGTCCTGTGATAGGTGCAGAACTGGTGTGCAAAGCACTGGCGACAGCAGATAAGAGAGTCTCATCATTGTTGCCTGGGCCAACTCCTGCAATGTAAATTACTGAATAATTAATTTATTTAACCAGATAGCTTACTGTCCCTATGGTACATATGACTTGAAATGGCAAATATTCTCCTGTTTGCAGGACAACTACATGTAAAATAAAAAACTATAAATAGTTGAATAGCAGCACTTTAAAGACTAACAAAACATATAGATAGTATCATGAGCTTTCATGGGCACAACCCACTTCTTCAAATGAATGGAGTATTAAAAGTTCTTGGATTTGGATTTTAATACTCCATTCATTTGAAGAAGTGGGTTGTGCCCATGAAAGCTCATGATACTATCTATATGTTTTGTTAGTCTTTAAAATGCTGCTAGACTATTCATTGTTTTAAGTTCTTCCCGTTACAGACTAACTTGGCTACCCCACTGAAGCTTTTGTACACATAAAATGATATTCATATGTATGAGCATATATTTTAAGACCACAAATCTAATGGTAATAAGGACTATGAAATGCAAATGATATTTTAGCAAATTACTTTGAATCCCTGTTAATACAATTTTAACATTTAGATTAAAAAAAAAAACCCCATAAATATCTACTGAAGCGATAACTTACAAATTGGCTACAGTTTCCTCAAACAAGGTCAATGGATTTAATGATCTGAGTTCCTTCTCCAACAATTATCTTGTCTCCAAGTACACTTATTAACATAACATTTGGTCTTGAAATACAATTTCTCTTTACAGCTTTTAAAATTAATCTACACTAATATCTCAATTCTCTTTACTTTAGTGTTACAGGAAACAAAGCCAATGCTGGCAAGCAGTAGTGAATCTTTCACAACTCTTTCAAATTTCTATAGAAGTCTCCAATGTGGTAGAATAAATAGTTACTGACTGTGACCTACAACTTATTGAATTTCACTTCATCAGTTGTACTTGTGCCAAGTAAAGAGTGCAACTCTTAAAATGTTTTTTAAACAGTCAGTCCCCGGGTTACATGGATCCGACTTGCATCGGATCCCTACTTACAAACGGGGTGAGGCAACCACGCACTAGCTGCTTCCCCCCAGCAGACCAGGCAGATGCGGAGCGGCTTTTCTCAGCAGACACCTCAGCTTGAGAATAATACCCTGAGGGAAGTGAGGTGTGGGAGAATAAAACTGAGCTCTGGAGAAATGTTTGGCTAGAGTTTCCCCTACAATATGTACCAGTTCCGACTTACATACAAATTCAACTTAAGAACAAACCTACAGTCCCTATCTTGTACGTAACCCAGGGACTGCCTGTATTAGTTAAGTAAGTAACTTGATAAAACAGAAAACCCTTTTGAGGAGACAGGTGTTTCTGCCAACAAGCATATGTCAAGATCTGAGAGTTGCTAAAGTAAATCAAAGTCAGAGACAGACACCATAACTGCTTAAGAATATTTGAAAAGATAACATGATCTTTTGTATACATTCTGCTTACTAGGCATACCATAGCTGCTAAGGGCATGCAGTACCTTGAAGACCTTTAGGTAGCTCCATGGATTTTATAATTTGTTCACTGACATCAGATGCACTTAGGCCTTGTAGCCTCTTCTCCCAGAAAAGCTGAAAGATGGAAAGAGGTTGCTTTATCACCATACAATTTATTCATGATAAAAACATGTAGAACACTTAAACAAGTGAAGTGATAACTGATGGCCTACAACTGCACCCTATAAAATAAAAGTCAGTAATATCAGCATTTTAATGCCCATACAACTTATTACACAAAGACTGAGGTGTGGTTGTTATTCCACTAATTATCTCATCCCTTGATAAAAGCTTTGACACTCACTTTCATGGGAGTAAATATTTTCTATCAGTATTTTCTAATTTAAAAACTTCTGACTTTTAGCCTGAGATACTCCTACAGAGGGTACAGATTCCTTCTTTCTACTTCTGTCATCCAGTGTTCCGCTTTTTAGGATACATCTCCCTTGTGTTTTAAAATCTGCAGCAGCAAGTCTCAGAGCCCAGATCTACAGACTCAGGCTTACAGAGCTTACACTAGAAAGCAGCAGGACGGATAGTGAAGCTTAGGCTGGAGCTTGGGCTCTGACAGACACTCCCTCTCCTTTAGCTTCAGAGCCCACACTCCAGCCTGAGCTACAAAGTCTACACTTTTGTTGTTAGCCCCGTGGCACAAGCCCAAGACTGTATACCCAGGTTTTGAGTTTTGAATTTTTCAAACATAACATTCACACACTCTCAGGCTTGTCCTGCTAGTACTACTGGTTCTTATATTACCAATATGAATAAAATTCATTCAAAAAACTAAAATTGCTCCATAAATTGGCTAGAGGCAACCTGTCCACTCACTGTGATCTCTTTCATCATGCACTTATGAGTAACCTGCATTCAGGGTATGGCAGAGTATTACACCAATGGACATGTAGTCTCCACAGCTATCACTACAGACCACGGAAAGCAAGCAGCAATAAGTTCATTTTAAATAAAATCAGGTGCAGTCTTCATTCTTGGCAAGTTAGTAATGTATTAATTGATTTTCCCTCTTCCTTTACCCACCACTTATCTTTGGAATTAATGAGTGTACTTAATCTACTAAGGCTTCCTTCATTAAAAATCAATCAAGTTCATAGTGAAATGCAATAAACTTCTGAACAAGAATCATTAAAGAGAAGCCATTTTCTCAGGGATAGAGGGCACTATCTATGGGGAGGAAAAGGTTAATAAGAAAGTCAACTGTCTTTAAGCATTGACAGCAAAATGTGACAGGCAATTGCTATGGGGATTCTTGTCCTTGTTCCATCATGACATCTGGACCAGTGGGTGAATGATCCTTAAAACATTCAGGGTAGATAAATTAAAAGGAGATTAACTTTTCTGCAGATAGCAGTAGTGTTGGATGACTCTCTTAACTAAGCATCAAAATATTCATAATTATTTTACAAGTCAACTCTCATCTCATTAAGACCTTTGTATCATCCAGTCTGACTCAGCCCTTGTGCTGACTGTAGGACTACGTGACTACAATTGTTCCACTGACACAACTTGTTCTTGGCCATCTCTGTGGTAACAATTTCCTTTTACTGCTATCACTCCTCATTTGCTCAGACAACTAGGAACACTTCATCTGAATCTTAAAATTATTCCCATGAAGTCTTGTCCAGTTTCTGAACTCTTATTTCTAGCTGAAGCTTTCAAGATAGGGGCTTCCTCACCTAACCTTTTCTAAAGTAGACTACTTCGCTTAAGTTATATTGTTACCTTTATGGTAGCTGAAGACAGATTATTTCCCTTACATCTTCCACTTTCAACTGTATATATTTAGTACCCTACATCTGGTATATGCATTATTTGCCACTCTCTGTATAGCTAAAACATTGTACCCCAAAGAAGTGTAATAGATTTTCTATAAGAACCAATACCACTCTTTAGATAAAGTGACAATGGTTTTAAAATTCTAGAACATTAAAGAAATCCATGTTTTAGTTACTATGAAAGTGTAAGTAGCTACTCTATAACTAAAGGTGTGTCTAGACTACATCCCTCTTTTGACAGAGGGATGTAAATTAGGCACTTCAAAATTGTAAATGGAGCCGGGATTTGAATTTCCCGTGCTTCATTTGCATAATCACGTCATGGCGCTCTTTTGTAAAAGCACTATTTTGAAATTGAAACTGCAGTCTAGATGCAGTTCTTTCGAAAATTGAAGCCTTTTTTGAAAGATCCTGTAAACCTTTATATTGAAACCTGCAGTTTCAATTTTGAAATAGTGCTTTTTTGAAAGAGCGTCATGACGTGATTATGCAAATGCAGTGCGGGAAATTCAAATCCTGGTTTCATTTGCAATTTCGAAGTGCCTCATTTACATCCCTCTTTTGAAAGAGAGATGTAGTCTAGACACACCCTAAGAGTACATCGAGAAATGCATAAGCAATGAAAGGGAATTTAAAAACTTCTAATTCAGTTTAATCGTTGATTTTAATCTGTTTGGTGCAATAAATTCTAAGGACAACCAAGTTATTTTAATAAAATAATTACTAGTTTCTGCAAAGGATTTTTTTTTAAATTGTCCGTTTCTAAAATTGTGCCCCATTACTCTAACCAAGGCCCAAGGATTTCATCTTCACACACAGAAATTAAATCACAGGATTTGTTATACGGCAAAGAAAAACCTGCAGTGATGAGTCTCAGAGCATGGGTCAACTTACATGGGCTTGAAGGGCTCAGGCTGCTGAGATCAAAATATCAGTGTTGACGCTCAGGCTTGGGCTGAAGCCTTGGCTTTGAAACCTAGTGAGGGTCAGAGTAGGAACCTCCACACTTCTATTTTTAGCCTTGCAGCCCTGTCAGACTGAGTCAACTGACCGCCTCTGTGAGACTTGGTGTCATGAGTTTCTCTCTGCAGGGAAGATGTGCCCTCAGATAATATTGTTCTCTGAGGCCTCCTTCTTGCTTCCCCAGATCACTCTCTCAACACCTTACAAAGACTATGAGGTTCCAGAAAGGAAGACTAGTTAATAAGGGATATGTGGGTGAGTGGAAGCACCAGGCAAAACATGTGCTCCAAGGCTGGTATCTGGAGAACAGGGATATGGAAAGATCTTGGAGTAGGAAGCCCATTATCTAAAGGAGATTAGCAGTACTTTCCTACCTCACAGAGATATTAGGAGGATAAACACTTTGGCTATGTCTACACTGCCCCCTCTTATGCAAAAAAAATAAATAAATGCAAATGAGGTGAAGCGTAGAATAGCACCACGCCTCATTTGATAATTAACGAGGCTCCGTTTTTGCACAACACACTCCTCCTTGCATAAGAGCCGTTTTTCCTGGAAAAAGGAAGAATAGCTCTTGCACAAGAGGGGGGTTTTGCGCAAAAACAGAGCCTCATTAATTATGCAAATGAGGCAGTGATATTCTATGCTTCACCTCATTTGCATTTTTTTGCACAAGAGGAGGCAGTGTAGACATAGCCTTTAAGAATTGTGAGATGCTCACATACAATGGTGATAAGGACTGTATAAATATCTAAAATAGATAATCATCTAGTCTGATCTCCTCAATCTCTCTCTCACACACACACACACACACTTCCCTGAATTTCTTCGTTCAGTTCAATAGCTGTGGACTGAACTAAAAGCATATTTTTTCAAAGATATCCAGTGGAAAAATTGCCAGTGATAGAATCTACCACAACCCTTATCCCAGATCTACACTAACCCCTGGAAGGTCGGCTTAAGGGTATACAACTCCAGCTATGCAAAGCTGAAGTTGGCTTACCTTAAGCTGAGCTGTGAGGTGTCCACACATCGAGAGGCCAGTGGGACCAAATGCTCCTGTCAGCTTCCTTTACTCCTCACAGAAGGAGGAGAACTGGATGCAGGCAGGAGCTGCCCTCAGTGTTCAATAGTGGGTCTATATTAGAACCGCTAAATCGAATGCTAGACGATCGACCCCTGGCGCATTGATTGTCTGCTAAGTATAGATGTGTCCTTAGTGAGTTTTTCCAATGGTGAGTAACCCTCAACATTATAATTGTGCCTCTTATTTCTAATGTGAATTTATCTACCTTCAACTTCCAGTCATGGGATCTTGCTATAGCTCTTTCTGATAAAAAAAAAAGACCCCTATTATGAAATTTGTGTTCCTCATGTAGGTCACTATAGATTGTTTAAGTCACCACATAACCGTCTACTAAATAAGGTAAACAGATTGAGCTCCAGGAAACTTTTGATAAAAGGCATTTTTATCAAAACTCTAATATTTTTGTGGTTCTCTGAACCTTCTCATATTGTACACACTAGCATCAGACACAGGATTCTAGTAGCAATTGTACCAATGCCAAATGCAAAGGTAAAATAACCTCCCTATGCTACATAATAGACCCCTATTTCTACACTAACCACATTAGTCACAGTGTCATACCAGGAGCTCATGCTCAGCTGACTATCCATCATGAGCCAAGATTTTTTCAGTCGCTGTTTCTCCAAAGAGTCCCCCTTCCTATTGGTATGGTGTATGCTTTGGCCATTTTCCCAGCACTCGAGTGAAATAAAGAAATATTCTTTTACAGTGAGGGAATTGAAAAAAAGAAATTATGACATTTACCCAAAGTAACACAGTAATCTGTGACAGAGCAAGAAATTCAGCCCAGATTTCCTGACTCGTGAGCTATAAAAGTATCTTTTTTCTCTGATGGGGGAAGTAACGAGGGAATGAAAAGCCTTAGGTGCAAAGATGGGTAGAACTTTATTTCTTTGCTAGGTTTCTGCTGGTCATACTTTGCATATCCTTTGAACTTGTACAATTAGTTTACTTGGATTTTTTAAATGAAGTTTTTTGTTTGGCAAATCAAAGTAAACCATTAGGCTGCTTTGATGTGATTTGTTCTTGATAAATAATGCAAACTGTTACTTTTAACCTTATTTTCCAGATGTTTGCAAATGGATTCCTTAATTATTTGCTCCATTATCTTTCCTGGCACAGAAAAGCTGACTGGTCTGTAGTTTCCTGGATTGTCCTTATTTTCCTTTTTATAGATGGGTGCTATATTTACTCTTTTCCGGTCTTCAAATCTCTCCCAACTTCTAAGACTTTTC